CTTGCGTCAAGAACGGTTTTCTGTTTACCAAGTCCAACCAACTAACAACTCAACTACTTACACTAGTGGTCATATCGATAAGATTCGATGATCGGTAAAGAATTAGACAAGCATAACATTGATCACTACTCAACCATCATTCAGTAGTATAATTCACATTTGTTAAAATAAATAAACCTCTTCTACTGAAAGACTAATTAAGTTAAACATGAATTTGTGTTGGTCATTCACAGAACTCATCTGATCATTATGCACGATATCATTCATTAAGTCTACTTGATCATCATGCGCGTTTCATCCTGATTACAGTGTAAAATTACAAAAACACTCAAATAAATCAATAATAATCAAATATAGATGAAGAAAAAAGGGCCAAAACTCAAACCTATCAATAAAGGGAATTAGGGACAAGGGTGGGAGGGTGTTCGAATCGTTTTTGCCAGCAAACTTTGGACTTCAGTTGGTGGATCGCCAGTGCCTAAGATTACGTCCGAACCTCCGTTCGATCCAATTCCTTTGACTGAGTAGATTAATTTAAAGGAAGACTCCTTTGGAGCGATGTATATATACTTGACTAAATGCTCCTGTATTGAACTAGTAATTGTTTTGCATTCTTTCAAAAGACATGCTGGGTAGTGTTCCAAGATGAGTTTGGAAAGTGATCGCTTGGTGCGGCCAACGTGATTTGTCCCATATGAGCAAGTAAATTTATAGATGCATATTGAAGTATTATGCAACAACTCTAACTGAACACATCAAGTTCTATATATATTCCAGACACACAATTACTTGGGGGTCATCGTTGACCAAAGCCAAAAACTACTGCACGCTACCATGCATTAGCCGTCAAAGTGTTACAACCCTATAGTCAATACGTGGGGCTTTTAGTCATGTCGACGCTAAGACTTCTTTACTTTGTAAACAGTAGTCGTGAGACATAAACTTGAGTACTGCATACAAGCGACTAGCCCCTGCTTGAAAAAAGACAGATTTTGGGAAAGCTTCAGAGAACAACAGCTAAGCTGATTTCTGAAACAATGAAGCTCCGTATGATGCTCCACTGGCTAAACTAAACATATTCCCCTTGTCATATCGAAGGACTAGAGGTGACTTGATTACAGATTTCAAATTGTTTAGTGGTAAATTTGCACTTGGTATGCCCTCATTTTTTGTCTTCCAACAACAGAGAATTTATGAGGACACTCCAAAATGTTCACAAGCCCAGAATAAATTACTTGTCAGCTGACTGTCAATATTCCCTTCGAAACATAAATCAGTGGAATTCATTACCTGAACACTTAATGGAAGTTCCATCTATCGACTCATTCAAAAGAAAGTTAGATCAACTGAGATATCATCATCGCCAGGACCAAAACAGGCCATCACACCTCCTGTCCTTTCAAACTGACAGTGAAACTAAAAGAATCATCAATGTCACCTTGTCGTGGTAAATTGAATCTATCAATTGTTCCATTCCATTTATATACATAACTTCATTATTTATATTTAACACTTCAAGTACACATGATCGCCAGTTTTATTTCAATGAAATTGTATTATCTTTCATCTTGATCATTCATTTCTTTATTCTCAATTCTAACTAGATTATCTTCAAATGAAAATGTTCATGTGATACCACTTCTGGAAATTAATCATTTTCTTATATACTACTACTAATAATGATAAGTAGTATTATCATTATTACTATATTATATTATCACAACACATTACATAACAGAATACTCGTAATAATACGATTTAAAGCTGATTACTGGGAACCGTATCATTTTTATACCTTCGTATGTAACGTGCTGTCTAACCAACTGTTCTCAAAAACATTTCACTGATACTTTTCTACATTTTTCAATATTTTCAGCCATTCTTGATGGAATTACTTGAAAAACGTGGTTATTAAGAGGATGACAACTGGAGCCTATTGATCAGTGATGATGCTGATTTCTATCAAATAATTTAAGTCTGTCAACACTAAATTTATTGAATAATATGCTCAAACTATCTATCTTAATGACTGCCATACATTATTTGAGAATGAGTGAGTTAATTCATATTTGCTAATTGTAATAACGTATGAAACATCTAGACGATAGATCACTTTACTTAATTATTAACACTTGTTATCATTCATGGAGGAGCATAGGCAGCCCACCAGTATTCTCCATCCAACTCTGTCCTGGACAATCCTTTCCAGTTGTTCCTTTTCATCTGTGCTTCCGATTCTCGACACAGTGTGTTCTTTGACCTTCCTCTTTTCTGTTTTCTTTCAGGATCCCAAGTATGGGTTGCCTCATGATGCAGCTTGGTAATTTCCTCAATGTGTGTTCTATCCACTTCCAACGTCTTTTCCTAATTCCCTCTTTGTTTGTTTGTTCTCTCCTACAGTACACTGTTGCTGATGGTATCCGGTCAACAGACACTGGGTATCTTACGTAGACGATTGTTTATAAATACTTGTACATGTTTGATGATTACTGTAGTGGTTCTCCATGTTTCAGCTCCATACAGTAGAACTGTCTTGGTGTTCATATTGAAGATTCTAGCTTTATATTGGTTGACAGTTGTTTTGAATTCCATATGTTCTTAAACTGTGGAAATGCCACCTTAGCATTACCAATCCTTGCCTTAACACTGTATCGAATTCTCAAAAGTAAGATCGAAGGTGAATAGGTAGGGTTAGTATCAACCAGTACATACCACGTCGACTATCATGTGGGCTGAATAGGTACAATAAATACAAGACAATACCGTAACAACAATCATCTTTATCTAGTAAATGTTATATTAACTAGAAATACAGGAAACAGTAGTATTAAGAATTCAAATTAAATCATGACATGTTACCTCATAGTGTTGTACAGTTGTTTCGATTCTATTTGACAGCAATTAGTTTGTGTATTTAAGTTCACCACATATACATTGAGCACCACACACACAGTTTAAACAACAACCCTTTAAATGATGATAGTTGGATAAACAAACAAACTAATAGCCATGATGATATACAGTTATTATTGAATGAAGAATGTCTATCCCCTGTAAGCATCAATAAAGCTAATACATCGCCTACAAGTCGAAAACCAGTGGATGAAGCAATTATTAAGGCAATCCAAAGACCTAGAAAGTGAAATTTTATGGTCTCTTCAGAAATACCTGACGTAAACAGATAAGTGGAATACAAAATAGACAGATGAAAGCGATTACAACTGGGTTTTCTCTTTAAATTTCTTTAATTTAACCCACCTACCTAGATTATGATCAATCGAAAAACGACAGTATTAATCATGAGAAATGAATCATTTTTAAATTTGTCTCTAAGAGTTCTGATTTTATGACGTGCTGGAAACTGGATATTTGTAACTATATGTACTTATTAGCAAATAACTAGTGACATCACTGAATATTTTGCCAAAAACCACAGGAGGTGATACTGAGGTCAACTGGAATAAACCCTTATGCGGAGCGAAATGCAAGAAGCACGAGTATTACCTAAGTTTAAGTCGATTGGGAGTTTAATTATTTAGATGTTCTTATCTGCAGTAGCTGAAGAATCATAAAACGTAAAATCCACCTGCATCGGAGAGGAGTGACCGGATAACAGATATCAGTTCTATACAGTTATATTCTATACCACGAAATCCTATCATAAGCAGACCACTTTTCTTTTTCCACCTAGTCACACTATGCTACTAATTTTACAGGACGTTTTGCCAGACTGAAAGCGACTTCACTTGTCATTTTAATGTCACCAATCAACTACATAAACACTTACTTCATAAATAAGTTATATTAATCAGTGCAGGAAGTCAGAACGATATTCCTTTGTCCCAGGTACTATGTTGTCTATGTCTAGAAATCAATGTTAACATAAACTTTAACTGAAACGCCTTGATACAGATATGGTCCATTTTTATTTAATTATTTGTGACACGTTAACCAAGTACAGATTGGCATATTCAGCTTTGATGCACACTTGAACCGAAATAACTAGCAACACTGTTCGGGAGCTCAGATAGAGTTGATCATTCAAACCAGTGATTAAGAGGTAGAATCTTTTGATCACATAAAGTGTTATAGTTTCACTTTTTTACATGAATCTCTGAAATGAAGTTACAACCACATAGCTAAATGTCACAATTAAAGAGCGTTGTTTTTTTGAACTACGAAATCCAATCTTTTAGAACACAACACAAGCTTATAGAACCAAAGTATGACCTATCGATTCGTAGAATAAATACCTTGTATAATAATGAAAACAAGCCCAGATTTGATCCAGATGGAACATTCTTTCTATAAATATAAACAAATGGGAAAAATTAGAAGCAACAAAACTGGATATACATAAAATGAACAATCCCAAAGATACAAAAAATAGAAGAGATAAGAGGTAGGTGCGAATGATTATCACCGAATACGGAAACATGGTAGAATTAAACACGAGTAAAACAAACATAATAACTTGAGTAAACTTTGAAAAAGACAACAAGAAGGATTTGAAACTATGCGGGTTATGTATGAAGGGAAACACACACACCAAAATATTGATATAAAACAGAAAATATGACAACAATATACATTGAAATTTTATTGATTCAATTGATAAACAGTCAGTCAGTAACAACGTAGAACTTCGTACGTACGTACATCAGTTCGAGTTGCCACACCACCTTAACCACCAATTGATAAACACGAAAGAAAGAGAAAAACAAAACAATTGAATCAGAACATTTGATTCTTCTTCCTTTTTTTGAATAACCCGCGCTTATATTGTAAACTGAAAGACGCTTTACATATAAGAAATTCAATAAATACAAGAAAAAAAAATTGACAAAACACCAAATGCTTATGATAATTCAGGCGAATGAAATATGAATTTAGAAGAGTGAAAGAAATTGAAATGTAAAGTGAACAGTCAATTACAGAATAGGAGTAAGGACCATCTCTCTCTCTCTCTCTCTCTCTCTCTATATATATATATATATATATATATATATATATAGACACGAGGTCACTCGTTTAACACGAACCAAACGTCTTACACGTGTACAGCAATAACAATAATAATAGTAGATACAAATTTATAGTACATAAATGGAAAATAGTCCATACAACAGAAAGAGAGATAGGCAATTAATGAATATCCAATAAGTAATAAGAATGAAGAAAACAATAGTAAATATATATTTATATACATGGATATAGATGCATGTAGATGGTATTGACAAAGTGATATATTGAATCACTCATATCAGTATATTCACGTATACTAAAATAAATCAATGGAAATAATAAACTTGAAATATCACAAAGACGGAAGAATAACACATAACAGTAAACAAATAGTGTAAGTAATTGAATTAAAACTTTTTTACACTGAAATCTACGTCTTATATATCAACAGAGGGATATATGCATACGAAAAATAGAATTATTAAGAGCGGGTTTTGTGGAAATTTTTAGTACTTTTATAGTTGATTTCATGAGTCAATTAAAGCTAGATCATGGAAAACCTGGAAGCACTGGAAGGCCGTTTCGTCCTAGCACAGGACTCCTCAGCGGTGCGCATCCACGATTCCGCTCGTGGGAGTCGAACCCAGGATCTATCGGTCTCGCGCGCGAACGCTTAACCTCTAAACTAATGAAACGGCATCCAAAGATATTAGTATATAGCCTCAACCAATTCACGAAATTGTGTCACCGTCCACCATTGTTTTCAGTGAGTTACTATTTCACAACAGACCTGGTTAGACACCACTGGTCATGGCTTCTTACTAGCACTCTAGGAAATACCTCTTGAAGCCAGTCACTAGTGAGCACATGACAATTATTATCAGAAGGGGTTGGATGCTGGCTTAATACTCTAGAGGTTAAGCGTTCACGCGCGAGACCGATAGATCCTGGGTTCAACTCCCACGGGAGGAATTATGGATGCGCACTGCTAAGGAATCTCGTAATAGAACGAAGCAGCCGTCCAGTGCCTCCAGATTTTCGATGATCTAGCTTTAATTGACTCATGAATTCAACTATAAAAAAATAGGATGTCGAAAGTATTAGATGATAACGGTACTATATTTCTGGTTCATCGTGCTCCTTCAACTATATCACACACAAGAAAATCATATGAACCACACATGACTCTTCATTCTTCTGTTGGTCCATTCTCAGTTCTTAGCAATTCTTTTACATTATTCATTATCAACCGCTATATATACTTGTTAAGTTCCGATAAGCATAATGAATGGTAATTTTGGGATCTATTTATGGACCAATACTAAACGTATATTTTTATTGTATAATTGCTAAATAACTAAGCTATTCATATTCACATTCCTCTTATTATAAGCTTTATTTTGGCCTATGAACCATTATTATAAGTTTCACCATTCTTGAATTATGCCCTGTCTATTAGTCACTGCCTCGCATATTCACAGCGACGTTTGGCCAAATTTTGTACAAATGTTATTTTCTATTTTATGCCACGTTGTGGTCTGTTTGATTGGTATATAAACTCAGTATGTTTGAAATATAATGATTCATATCGCACAGGCTAGGATTGGTGTTCTGGACTTAATTGGCTGGGTTAAGCGGAAAACAGGACCAATCAGGACTCTAGGCTGCTCGTACGGGTTTTACGCATCATTGATTCGATTGATAAGTCACTGCTCCCTAATTGGCAATATCATTACTTACCCATTAACAGGGCACACAGGTCACAGGTTATAACAATACTTACTTACTTACGCCTGGAGCATAGGCCGACGACCAGAATTCTCCAACCCACTCTGTCCTCAGCCTTCCTTTCTAGTTCTATACAATTGTTGTTCATTCTTCTCATGTCTGTCTCCATTTCTCGGAGTGATGTGTTATTTGGTCTTCCCATCCTCCTTTGGTACTGAGGACTCCAAGTGAGGGCTTGCCTTGTGACGTAGTTGAGTGTTTTCCTCCATGTGTGTCCTATCCATTTCCAGAGCTTCTTCTTGATTTCTTCCTCCGCTGGGATATGTTTCGTTCTCTCCCACAGTAGATTTTTACTGAAGTGTCTGACCAACGGATCCAAAACCACTATATATATATATATATATATATATATATATATATATATATATATATATATATATATATATTCAGAGCAGCTAAAGCCCTAGAAGTATCTAATGATTATACTAGCAACTTACTGAATTTGTAAAAAATTTCTTTCCTAATACTTCTCAAAATGTTAACCAAACAAAGATAAAATTGTATTAACTTACTATAAAAGTAGCGGGGGTAATCATAGCTCAGAACGCCGGAACATTTGAACCAGATATTAATCATCTAAGACTTTTCATCATTTTGACTGGAAATTAAGGAACGATAGTCTAACATTTCCATTAATTGTTGGATTTCTTTGACAGCATCTCGCCGCATGGCTCTAACATCTTCATTTCCATCACTTTTTAAGGTATCCAAACTTAGTATCAACTGTTCCAAGTTTTCCATAAGATGTTTGTATTCCTTACTCTGAGGTGCACCTTTGAATTAACGAATGGTATAAATGAAAGCAGAAATCTTCAGGAATGTTGAAGAAGTTGGTAACATTTAATTTTTTTAAAACGTTCGATATTAGGGGTTGATTTTAACTTAATTTAACTCAGTAACCAAGTACGGATTTTCATAGTTGATACTGAGTAACACGCTGTTTTAAGAGTTTATGGTACAGACCAACCGATTAAATAGGAATACGTGGAGCCAGTCAGTCAAGGTTATCTCAAGTGCTATTAGAGGTATGTGTACAGTTTTTACCTTTCAGTTGCTCACATCATGAAATACTTTTTCTTAAAAAACCTAGAATGGAAATTAGATTGGTGGCGGGTTTTTTTCTACTTGAGTGTGTGCCCATAGAACACGACAAAGAACAATCCTCTGAAGCTGATACACCCCATTAGAGTGGGTAGTATCAGTGAGTTAAACGCAACGTACGATCTGGTACGCGTGTACATCGATTCAAGTCTCCATACCGGATTAGCACAACCAGATGAAAATTTTAGAGCGAATTTCAGATTATTAGATGGAGCAACAGTATTAGTGGCAATATAAAAGATTAGGTACCAAAAAAACGATTCAAGAAAGTATAATTAGTGAAATAAAAAACCATGAGGAATTTGGAAACCTCGGATCTAGAGGGAGACAAGGAATGGATGCACTTGCACTACGGTAAGCCACTGGTTATGATCAGTCAGTCAGTCAGCTACAATGTAGGACCAGGCACATATATGCATCTGTCAAAGTTACCACAAATGATTAGCACAACAAGATGAACACCAAATTCATAGTAGTCACTTCAGTGGTAGTAATATATAAAAGAAAGACTGTGTATAACGATATAATACAAGAAGAAAGAATTAGTTCGTATAAAGAAAGGTACAAAGCAAATTTAATCTGACAGTTTAAGGAAAGACAAAGTGTGTACGCACCCACACCATTGTGATAGATTTTGAGACATGTCAGTCACACAGTCTCCAATCTTAGTCACGCAGACCCCAACCAAGTAGTCTGCATCTACTAACGCGGCTCAAACCAGAAGTTATTGACTTCAAGGACTGACGTCACGTTTTGATTTATTTTAACGCATAGATATTGGTACAAGGAGGCACCAAATACATATGCGCCACACAGATCTCATTTGATATGTGTGAGGGCTTTGATACTGCCCGGATGCCCAAACCGAAACAGGACGTTTTGGTTTGGCCATCCCCGACGTCTTCCATCCGTCTCCAACACTAGTCAGTATTGCACGTCGTAGTAATCAGTGTTCAGGCATGCGTAACACGTGGCCCAACCATCTCAGTCGATGAAGATTTACAACCTCAACTGATTTACCATCATTCCCTAATATCATGCATCTAACCTCACTATTAATTACACGGTGATCCTAGCAGATACAAGCAATATTTCTTAGACATCTATGATCAAATGCTAATAGCTTACGTGTATCTTCTAGTCTCAATGGCCACGTTTTACAGCCGTTAAGTAGGACAGAACGAACTGCTGCGCAATATACTTGTCTCTTAATTGATAGACGAATATCTCACCTTCGCCATAGGTGACGTACGTTGGCAAAAGCTAAATGAGCTTTTTGAATCTGTTTAGAGATTTCGTCAGACACCAACCCATTAGGGCTGATCAGACTTCCAGGATAAGTGAAGTTGTCGACACGTTTGACTACTTCACTTCCTATCTATAGTTCAGGTGTTGACGCAGGTCGGTCCTGAAGCAACAACTTGCATTTAGAGTGGGAGAAACACATCCCAAACATCCTGACATTGTTGCTCAGTGCAACCAAAAGACTGCATTTTATCTGCGTCTTCACCAAACAGGAATATGCCATCTGCATATTCTAAGTCGATAAGTGGATCTCCCGGAAATAGATCAATTCGTCAAAACTCAGTCGACGAGAACGTTATTTGAATCAGTAGATCTATGATGAAGTTGAACAAAAATGGCGATAGTGGACAGCCTTGCCAGACACCACTTGAGGTTGTAAAATCAGATGACAGTTCGTCATAAGCTCGGACTCGACTGGTAGTCATCGAGCAATAAGCCTTCACAAAGTTTATGTACTTCTGAGGTACTCCTTTTAATGACGAACGCTGCCACAGAACCTCTTGGTCTACAGAGTCGAATGCTGCCTTTAAGTCAAGATAAGCATGTCTGTGTTCCAAAACCTCACGAATGGTGAATATGTGATCGATGCAGTCACGATCAAGTCTGAAGCGAGCCTGATTTCCTCGTGTTTGCAGTTCACGCGTCTCTGTTAGGCGCCCGATAACTATTGAGGCTGGCATTTTAGAGGCTACAATAGTCAAACGAACCCCTCTATGGTTATCACAGGATGATTTTAATCCTTTCTTATAAATTGGAACAATCAGTGACTGCGAACAGTCAGATGGGATTTGTAGTGTCAGTCATTATTTTAAGCCCATATACCTTATTCTAGTTTTCGAACAAACCAATCTATTCATTCTACTCGAGTCACATTCTGACCTTATTAATTATTCGCTTATCACTCTTCACTGTTTTTATATGAGTGCATATGTGTGTACACTTCCCATCCCATTCACCACATGTCTGTAGCTTACTTTTGTCTGCCTATAAATATTGATTAACGCCTGACTAAAAATGAGTTGGCTTACCAGCCATCTCCACTGCGCATCATTTTTACTTGGCTTCACCGTGTGCTTGCTTGCTGTTCGCTTGCGGATTTTTATTAATCATTAACAATAAATTATCTCTATAACTGGTGTTCAGGCTTCTGAATAATCTCGAGTAAATCTGTAATTCTACTGGGAGATTAAGCCTACCTTAAATACTCAGGTTATGGGATATTATTTACTGGAGTCAGATATTGAGGACATTAGCCTCAACAGATTACGTCCAACTCCCAGATTTGAGTTTAAAAATATTATTCAACCTAATCGCCAAAACTGGACCATCATCCTTAAAGACCTCTGGACCAGCTGCCCTTCCTCGTTTCAGATTAGTTATAGCTTTTTGAACTTTAATGTCCCATTCAAACTGTTTAACAAAGGTGGGTAGTTGTAGAGTAGCTGAAGGCCAGCTAAACTGCTCTCTAAAGTGTTCCGCTTATCGTTCTAAAGCTCTGAGCTGAGAGCAAATAAGTGTCGTCTTTTTCTGAGGGCATATCACTTACACTTAACTTCTTAATTCCAGTTTCTTTTATTAGTCTGAAAAGCTGTCCGATGTTACCTACAGACGCTGCCTTTTCCATCTCTTTTGCTTTCGTTGCCCACCACTGCTCACAGTCGTTCCTTAGACTTTTGGTTAACCTAGATCTGATTTGTTTCCGCTCTTTATCTTGTTCGGATCCTGATCGTATGGGTTTATGAGTGTCTATCAGTGCAATAGACTAAGTAAAAACCAATTGGTTTTTCCGTAACATTTTGGTTTAAATCACTAATGGATGTCGCTGCTGTTTCCATAGCTGTTTGTATATCTTTCCAAGCAACATCTGGGTCAGTCTCGTTTTCAGAACTACCAGAGTGTGACCTCAGTTGTTCCTGGAATCTACTTTTGGCTTTCTCGTCACTGAGTTCAACTCTAATGGGTCTTCTTAATGAGAGGTCACTGATATGCGCCAGACAGGCCAGTTCAAGAGATTAAGCTAATCAGTAACTTAATTGCGAAAAATTACAAATGGGTATCAAGGAATGGATTATATAAGAAGTAACAATATTATGCAGATGAACCAAAAATTATGACATAGAAACAAGAACAATTAAAATAAGAATGCAACTAAGATAGGTGTCATCCAGTTACGCGCGTCTCGTCAAATAAAAAAGGAGAAAGAAAATAAGTGAGATAAGAAGAATATGGAAAGAAATGATATCAAATGAAACGAAGAATTATTTACAATAAATATGGCTCGACAGAAATCAACCAGATGGAAGAAAAGCGTAGCAATAAATAAGTCCTCAGAATAAATAGTTCTGTATGTTTTCGACATTTCTGCCGACCTCATAAGTTTTACTGGACACATCCTGGCTGAAGACGCTCGGTCACGTAACCGCGCTATATCACAAGTGAGTACACTATGCTACATATCCCTTGTAACTACTAGTCAGCTCAGATCAAACGCTTCTAAACATGTCGACAACCTTCCAAATATATATTTATTCATCCTTGACTTCTAATTTGACAGGGTTGGTATCCTTATATTATAAAGATGTTACAGACAAAAGCGTTAGCAAACCCTGAGTATTTGTGGCATCTTTAAAATTAGAACTAAGTTCTGAACCTAGAGAATAAAGAGTTAATGAAAGTACACAATTGTATTCGCTTTTTAGTGTTATCGTTCAACGTCTCCAATCATAATTTACGATTACCAACTCATCACTTAGTCAAGTTAACCCAAGTGCATATAAATTAGTAAAACAATAATTGAATGTAAAAATTACATGTGAAATAATATCAGCAGTTGTCAGTCAGCTAAAACGTAGGACCAGGCACATATATGCATCGCCTCAACAGTTGAGATTTAAATGATTTTGTAATCGTGAATTTGTTTATTTCCTTGAGTTTGGGTCAGTTAGACCAACGAAATATTGGATTTACTTAGATGTTAATTGCTGAAATTATTTCAAATGTAATGTAATATACTTAGCGCCCAATTTCAGCCAAATCGTCCACATTTCGAAGATTAATTACATACGATAATAACCACCGCGTTATATCTTCTACAGATTTAAGAACTGAAGTGATTGGTAATGATTTTCGATGTTTCTTAGATCATAAGTAAAGAATGAAGTCACCGAAAAAAGCATACTGACAGAAATGCCTCGGTCAGTCGGTAATAACCACCATGGAAGTGTATAGTGAAAGGAGTGGAAAGAGTAAAAATGCCACATTCACTTACCTGATACACTTAATACAATACTTTTATGTAATTTGAACCTTCATGTGAAAGTGAAGTGCTAAATAAGTACACTCACCATCAAAATAATCAATTTTTGGCTGTAATGAGCGTGCCCTTGACATTACATCTGCGATTTTTTTTTCACAGTTAGAGCCACATGCATCAGAAGAATTCTTAACGTAGAGACTATTAATATTGCGTGTAACCAACTTGTTCCGAAAAATTTGACGGATTCGTTCCGTTTATTGATGAATATTCTTGATTTGTTACAGGATGGTTCCACTGCGTAGACCGAGTGTTATGATCCACAAAATAAAAGTTTCCTGATTTTTCATCAAGTCTCATTTCCCAACCAGGAGGTAGAGGTTCTTTGGGATTCATTTTTGGACTTAGTGAACCCACTAAACTGCAAATTTACCTATATTTGGAGAGTGAACAAGGTTTTAAAAAGTATATCATTTGGTATTGTAAGAGTTTGGATTAATCCTTCAAAGATACGCAAGCATGACGATAGTGGGAATACAGAGTGAGTAGTGATGGTTTTAGGTACACCTTACCATATAACAACGTCTAATAGGTTGACGAAACTTCATCGAGCGAAGTAGTTGAGAACTGTTACGTGGTCCCCGTAGCTTTCTATCCTGACGTCCAAAGATGACCAGAATAAAAACCAATAGGTGACTAGACGAAGATATGACATCAGTCTGTGAAGACACTTACTTCTGACCTGATACATTTGAGGAGGTGCGGACTTCTTGTTCGGGGCCCTCGTGATGAGCAAAATATATGGTTGATGACACCAACAGCTGAGGTGGTGAAAATGAAGTCACTTTCCCTCTCCTAAGTATCGAGTCATAATACTAATTTACACTTCCTACTCTGCAATATGACATTCTTATTAAACTATATTCATTTAAAGATCCTCATCATATTAAAAGACTAACAAAAGTCTTTTAAACTATATTCCCTGTTTTATATATTATAAATAATACTACTGTTGTGGTCATTCCCTTGCTTTTAATCTTACCAGTTTACTGTCTATCTTAATTAAAAATGTGATAACTTGGACAAACATCTACCAAGTCAGTTCCTTAGGGAAACATTTAGTTGAATCATTGTACTGCAAAAAAATTGTTTGAAAAATTGGTTGATCTTAAGTAGTAATTGGTATCCCTGAATTCTGATCTATCAAATCTGACTTTTACCTAGTGCGTTTTTCATGAGTTTGACGTTTAGACTAGATATCGGTAGGTGTTTTACAGGATACCCAAGGGCATTCATAACGCTAAAACCTAGTGGGAACATGACGTTCTAAATCCTCATAATCACATGTTAGTCCTTGGCATCACAAAGGTTTGATATCCAGATTACCCACAAAGTCCTCGTAAGGTGACTCAAAATTCACTTTAGATACCTGCAAAATTATACATGGAATACCTTACACTTTTCAATTCCGCATCGTCAACAAAGGGACTTCTTGAGCTTGTGGAGACTATTTCCCAGTCGGGTTTATTTAGTGCCATCTTTTGGAATACATGGGAATATCAGAACTTTGTCTAGTACTACTAATGTGATTACAAATGCTAATTTGGATGCTCCCGCTGGATCAAAGCACTTTTTAGGCCTAGGGTTTCATAAAGAACTCCCAAAGGCTTGTTATGGTGGCCGCCATACTGTTGCAATGCTTCTCGGGGATGGTGTAGGACCCGAACTTCTATCATACGTCAAAGAAGTTTTCCAAGTTATTGGAGCTCCAATAGATTTTGAGGAAGTTGCCGTAAATCAAGAATCTGAAGATGTTACATTTACTGATGCTCTACTTGCTATGAAACGCAATGATGTTGGAATCAAAGGAAATTTTGCCACAGAACCAGGTCAATCGTCAAGAAATGTAGCTCTCCGTTTAAACTTAAACTTAACACATCTGATAGTCAAGAAAGTCTTGGAGTCGAAATTTAAAGGCGAGAGTAAACAAGTTGGGCATGGAGAAAATAATGAAGCTAAGTGATGAGTGTTTAGCAAGACATATTTACCAAGCAGTTTGACCTACAGTTCTAATCCCAATTTCTCGATGGTGGAGAAAATTCTATCGACTCTGGCCATATGACTAGATATAGTGGGGCAGGTCGTTTATGTAAATGTGAAGAGCAGTGGCTTTTACACTACCACGTTATATTATATGATACTCCGTTTTTCTTTCTTATTAAAACTATGACAACAAATTCCCAGGTAGAAACACCAACGTGCACGTTGGTACATGTACCAACAAAGACCCGAAAACAGCTAAAAAAAATACCCATATATCTGCACAAAATACCAAAAAGAAACAGATACTAAGCGTAAAATTACTGGGAATTCAAAGGTGTAAGACTGAATAAAATCTGATATCCAAATATTATGCTCGTCAGAGCCAAAAAACCTCGGCAACGCCTCAGGGGTATCGTTCACTGACGGAGGTTGCGAGCACTCGAAGGTCAAACTGTCGCAAAATGATTGGTGCGTCACATCGACAATTCGTGAAAATTTTCAGAAGCGGTCAAATCAAGACATCTTTAGATTTGAATTGAGTTCAGCCACACCATGTCTGATAGCGTTCGTTCTTCAAGTAACGAAGACGATGCCATCGTGATGATGCATGATATAGGACGAATCTTCAATGATATTATGTTATCTCGAAGATTTACAAGTTGAGACAATTTTGAGACGTGTTTGAAAGGTAAGGTAATATGACTTCTGTGGTTAATAATTATTTTTTTAGTACACGCATACTAAGTACGTTATATCAGTATGCAAGAAGAACAGTGATGATCCAACTCTAAAGTACTTTTTCATGAGATATGTCTTTACATATGGACGTGTAGGGCCAGTGAAATGTCACTGAGCCCTAGCCAAATCATCCGGCAGTCGGATCACTGAATGTCGAACAGATCGTCGCTCCCTCCCAAGGTCATGTACAAGAAACGCGCATTAGTTAATCATACGCCATGGACTGGCCCATGCGGCAGTGGTCTTACTTTCGCCTGTATCTACCTTAACTAATATATTTCTGTAATAACGTCCTTTGTGTTGTACAGTCTTCAAAGCATCTTTAGTACCTTGTTACGTCAATGGGGGTAGTCCACGTAAGGTGCTGACCACGAGGTGTGACTTCGACATTAGCTAGTTTGTCACACCATTCATGTCTAACTCGAGTAGGCCTCCAATCATTTCGACATAGATCATCTACGTTGGTGATTTACACTGGTGAGCAAGACCTCGAAGAACGCAACCCATCACTATTATCTTTATTATTGTATTCTGTACTTATTCTTTTTCATTTTTATCATCGCCTATGTTAATCTGTTACTGTGAACTTTCGTTGCTTCATGTCAATGTTGATTAGCATTTAAACCTAGATAATTCGTTCAATCGACAGAACTAACCAATCAACTACGATTATAATCGGCTATCGTGGTTCTTTAACAAGCATTAGCAGCATGTAAATGCTCCTGTGTAATATGTCTGTTAAAATATCAACCACTCGTGAGTATAGCCACAAGGCAACACGAACGCATATCTCTTTGTACCTTATCCACTGGTATAAATAAGACAAGATTAACTATCGACTATAAATTCATCTTTCTGCTTAACCACTATCCACTAGAATGTTCTGCTTTTTTTTACCACTGCCTGCCTAATTTCCAATTGCTGAGTTCCATGGCCAAACAGAGGATACGAATGCTAGAAATTCACGGTGAGTTTGAACTATAAATTTCCTGCGATCTTAGATCTCGTTTAGACTGTTCGTCAGTCTACAACGCTGTGTTAATCGAAAAATTTAATCAATAGTACCTCGTACATAATCCAGATTCAAACTACTGCCTACTTCATTACTTAAAGGCAAAAGTAACCCAGGCGAGTTTCATAATTTCATTAGATTATTCCGTAGTATATTTATGATGCGTGATAACATTTCGTAGTTGCTTTTACGTAAACTAGTCATACATTCTGTCACTGCCGTCAAGTTTTAGTCGAAATCATGTAAATTTATGACTCGTTAGTCGACATACTGTGGTAAAACATATTGCATGTACACGAGCACGCTTAGTCCATGTCCCAAGTACACATGTTGTCGTACTTAATATGTCACTTAATGCTAGGTAATAAGCTCTTTGTATCATCCTTTTACGAAATGGCCACGTTACCTGGACCCTCTAAACCTTAGTTACATTGGTGGTTACCATTTTAATTAATGTTTATTATACCCCTTGTATTTGCTATTAATTCACACGGTAAATCATGGCTCGATTTCCTTATTACACGACAGTCATTTTAATTCTATTTTCGGTTTATTTACATGCGATACGGGTTTGGAAAATATCTAAACGTCCTCGAAAATTCTCCACGAACCCAACCATAGTTTTCGTATATGTTTTTATTCACACATCCAACTGTTACGCTAATCATACCTAAGCGAACGTTCAGTGCAACTGTCAGTATACGTAAGAACGATGTTATTTAGACTTGACATTGTAACACATCTGAACTATTGTAGTTGTTCTACTTCGATGTCGTACTTCATTTTATGAAGTATTGTTTCATCATGGCTGTTGTTTAACAGATGATTCCGGTACATCAATCGGCTGTTCAACTACTCGACGATTTACAACCTGTCCAGTTCAATTGGTGGTCTGACGACAATATCATTCGCGCGAATCATCAGTTTATGCAGTCGAGCGAATCTCCTGCAAACTGAAAACGATATTGTCGCCTCTACTCCAACACTGACAGCGTTTTTCACGGGTATCATTGACATGAGTCCAGAGTGACACTCTTGTTTTCTTATGTTCTTTTCGATATTTTTCTGTTCACTAACCGAACAAACACGCAGCATTCGCCGTTTATCATCTTTTAGAGACTTCATCGTGCCACCTTTTGCTGTCGATTTGTAGCCTTCAACCCTTACTGACTGTAACAGCAGTCATCGACTTTTCAAACTGTGACTACAAGTTGGTCAATAGCTTCGCACAACGAAATCACGACCACTCTTCACTGTTATACTTCTGTACTTACGGTTAGTCTGTTAGATATAGATATAACTAGAATTTGACACTAATTAATAGCTGTCAACGACACTGTCCGACTTACAACTTTAAACTAATGACAGTACAAACAAGGACATCGATTGATAATACACTTATCCTACTATCGCTATAGCATCATTACTCTTGCGACGGACTTAACGTATGTCATCGGAGGAACTGAATTACTTGTCAAAACTATATATTTCAGCGCGACTTGATAGAACAATAAAACGTTTTGTTCTTTTCATTATTTCTATGGTTAATCAATTTACGTTTAAGCAACGACCTACTAACATAATATGACTCGCTGTTTCCCGACCAGTTTCTGCCGCCTCCTTTCCATTTGTTTTACAGATAAGCAATACCTGGAGGATTTATAATATTCGTTTGGCACTCTCCGGCGCGCGACTGCTCCCAACATGTTTGGTACCGATTCAAACGGCCGCTGAATCTGGTGGGGGAGTATTGTAGGGCCAGTGAAATGTCACTGAGCCCTAGCCAAATCATCCGGCAGTCGGATCACTGAATGTCGAACAGATCGTCGCTCCCTCCCAAGGTCATGTACAAGAAACGCGCATTAGTTAATCATACGCCATGGACTGGCCCATGCGGCAGTGGTCTTACTTTCGCCTGTATCTACCTTAACTAATATATTTCTGTAATAACGTCCTTTGTGTTGTACAGTCTTCAAAGCATCTTTAGTACCTTGTTACGTCAATGGGGGTAGTCCACGTAAGGTGCTGACCACGAGGTGTGACTTCGACATTAGCTAGTTTGTCACACCATTCATGTCTAACTCGAGTAGGCCTCCAATCATTTCGACATAGATCATCTACGTTGGTGATCTACAGACGTACACGCAGTTCGTCAGAGTCAGATGCTTGCCTTCAGGATGTAGATGATGATAGAAATAATCATTCTTCTGAAGGGCACACAACTCCTAACTCGCCAACCTAGACAAGTTTGTCTCCTTAAGGAGGCGACGTCGGTCATCTACGTATGCCTTACTTCAAATGAATTTATCCTTCAGGTCGAAATATTGCCATTCTCAATCTGGATTTTGGGTCCGGGCAGTAAATGGTGAGCTGGAAGTCACGTCTATTAAAACCTTGCACAGAAGGATATATTTCTATCGATCCATCGAGACGACAGTTGACGTCAAGTGAACGCTTGATTTAAGAACATTTCTACTGAGTAATACACCAACTCGTAGCTTACGGCATATGGTTTCTTGGAAGTTCCATAAACAGCTTACCAAGGACGATATCGCTAAAATCCGTTCACAGTTATACCCAGGTTGTTGAACTCACATTGTAATTAACTGATTTTAGACACTAAAAATATCTATGACATCTTACAGCGTGTTCAAGCGAATACGTATTCAATGAAAATGAGAACATATCTATGATTTGCTTCAGCCGCAGAGAGCAAATAGCTGCTTACCACACGTTCTCGGAGGTAATATGTACTGATTCGACTTATCAGACCAACAAAGTTGGGTAAGTAACGATTAGTAATAAATTTATCTTAAAGTTTTCCACTGTTCCAGCTAGTGGTGACTGATAGTCTTGGGCAAGGGCACACTGTTACGTATGCTCTTTGCAGTCAAAAACGACGCGATGTCGAAAAAGTATTGGAATGCTTTAGAGAGATAATGTGCGGTACTTGTGATACACTCACTTTCATTATGGATTCGGCAGCGACCGAAATTTCAGCTGTGCAGTCTACGCACAGTCATTCTAACATAATACTTTGTTCATTCCATGTCTTAAGAACATTTCTCAGGAAGGTGTGTGTTAGCTGTGCAAATTATTTTCTGTAGTTCCGAAATCCTGATGTACGCAAGTGCTTGGAGCAGCTTGTGAATACGTATTTCGACATAGCAACCGGTGGACTAGGAAATACATAATGGACCTGGTTCTTCGTGCGCTGAACGACATGTCAATCTCTACAGGGAGTGATGATCTGCTAGAGAAGTTCACTAACAACTACCACTCAATCCATGCTCTTAGTGAACCTTTGGCAAGTAAACTCATCCGTTCATGCCTCGAAGCATCGGAAGACACATGCGCACAAGTGATGAGTTCGATCGGTGCTAATGATGAAGCTACAACGTCAGAATCCATTGTTAACACAGACCATAGCTATGCTTCTTGATAACAAGAAGTTATTATATTGTAATATTTTTAGTTTTACATAAATTCATTTATATGGTCATTAACTTATTCTTATAGCGAAACAGCAGGGAGAGTGTACTGTGCAGTCTTATATTGGCTGTGAGACAGGGATGTTGTTTCGCGTTCTTGTGTAATAATTATCAGTTTGGCGCACACCGTTTACTAAATACTGCAACCTTGAACATGGTGTACCATACTAGTAGTTCGAATTTCGACCTGTCACGATAGATAAGCATTTCC